CGCATTTTTCAAAAAAAATTTATCAAAAAAAAAATCATATATATTTTTTTTCCTCCTATAATAAAAAAAAAAAAATACAACAATATATCATCTTTAAATTCTTCATAAACAAAAATGCAAAATTCCATCAGAAACTCAACTATACAACCACTATGGAAATTTCCGAAAATGTAGAAGTTGGTAAATTGATTGGTCGTGGAGGACGTAACATAAAACCCATTGAAAGAGGGACTGGTACATGCATTTACATTAATACAAAAGTAAATCCTCGACAAATTGAAATTAAAATAAATAAAGAATATAAATTTAAAGATGAAAATATTTCGCTTTGGGAATGGATCAATAAAGCGATATGTCAAATAGACAATTTACTAGAAGATATTGAAGTAAGAAATCGAAAAAAAGATATAGAAAAAGAGAAAAATAATAGTAGAATTTCAGATAATGGTATTCATCAACATGCAACATCAAGAAACCATAAAAAACGAAGAATGCCGCATACGAAATCAAACACAGTTGGGCAAAAACATCAAGCACAGACGGACAAAAATATCAAGCACAGATGGATAAAATCATTAAGCACGGACGGATAAAAATGTCAAGCATGGTCAGATAAAATCATCAAGCACGTACAGATAAAACATCAAGCAGTTATCAAGCATGAACAGATAAAGAACAGGTAAAATGTCAGGCACGGTGTAACATTTTGTCAATCCATGCTTGATTTTTCACCCGCCTAATGCCTGATAGTTTAGTCCAACTTGGCTTGCCATAGAAGTCATGTTTTTTTTCATCTGCATTATGTTCAGAAAACTTGGTAATTTTAACCTCTCCATCTGAACTAGGGATTGGAATCGATTAATCGAAAATCGACAAAACATAGTAAAATCAATTCTCGAGAATCGATTCTCAGCAATTTTTTACATATAAGTTAACCTGACTCCAAAGTAATTTTTCATGCCGGCCAAGTGCTGATTATTTTTGCTGAAATTAGAAACTGATTCAAAGTCAGATTGGTCGTCTATAAGAAAAATCTTGAAAAGATTCGATTTTCGATTCCAATCCCTAATCTGAACCAATTGCAGTAAATTTAGGGAATAAAAATCGTAGAATTAATATAACAAAGGAGACAGTATATCAATGCTATTTCTTGTATAAGAGCGAATTTTTTCTTCATTAAGTTTCCAATATGTTCCATTGCATCCATTGATCCTGTCTACCAGCCTCATTAGCCATACATTTCCTAAAACTGAATCATATTTTACTAAGAAATGCTCGTATGAATCTCCCAAATACGATACGAGGGACTTCTGACTCAAAGGTATTGGGCAAAGAAATGGAAAATTCTTCATCATGAACCCATCTTCTTGTCATCACTCCTTACCTGCATTTGTTGTGCCTTTGCCAAGGTCCACCACTGCTGGATAAGCAGACCCATCTACCCTAGTAATATACAAATCCAATTTTCTGGCAAGCATCACACTAATACTATTATACTGAGATTTGGGGTCAATCAACGCTTTAACGGTTACTTTGTTACCATTGGTCAAAGATTGAAGGTCAACGAATGTACAGCCTATTATTAATCTTTTCATTATTAACACTGCAACATTTTTTAAGATCCTGGTTTGGAGGTGACGTAAGTCACAGTTTTATCTTCGCAAAATGGTACAAATTTACCTTCCTTCCTCTACGTGTATTATCGATCTTTGTTTCATGTAACCATAACCATGGTAAACAAACCTAATATGAGATCCGCTTTAGGCTCTTTTACCACCACAGAATCATTTAACACCTCATCACTTCCGTCTTTTCCTTCGTAAACAAATGACAAATCTAGGCAATTTATATAACCTTCTTACCTTCCGCATCTCCAATATACATTTGCCATGTCCTGTTAGTAGTTTTGTATTCTATTCCATGTTCTTCGAGAAACCTCTTGTTGATAAGATTTGCAATTTTGCATCGGAAGTTGTATTGACCAATGCTTTAACAGAATAAGGACGCTTCGCGTTGTGATACTCTTCATGAATTTTACAATTTACTATGTAAGTGTAATATCATAAATTTTGGCCGAAATTAAAAATTGATGGCCAAAATTAGTTAAGACATTATTGGCTGAAATTAATTGAATTCGTTAATCATTTAAACCATTCTATTTTCTATTTATAGAATCATTGATTTACATAAATTGCGCCTACTTGCATATTCTTAAAAAAAAAAGCTTCGCTTTCTCTTAATCCCCTTTACGCTCTGTTATTTATAAAAGATTATAATATTAGTTGAATCATGTCGTATAAATTTGAATCTGATGTCATAAAAGCGCTTGAAGAGATGCTTAAAACTAAAACAGATTATAATGTTATTATTCAAATTGGAAAAGAACATAATTTTAAGGAATTTCATGTACACTCAAATATCTTGCGCTTTAGATCCGAATATTTTAATGAAATACTTTCTGCTGAAAATATAGAGAAGAAAGACGGAAAATATATAGTTAAGAAACAAAATATAACTCCACAAGCTTTTGATACTATTCTTAAGTAAGTTAATTCAAATTCCTTGTATGAAAATATAATTAAAATTGTTTACATGTGTTTAAATCTTTTTTTATATTATTATTATTAACAAGGTATCTTTATACTGGTCATATTAATTTCGATAATAAAACCGGAACTGAGCTTTTGGATATTATGATCGCCTCCGACGAACTGAAATTGAAACAATTAACTAAAATTACCGAAGAATTTATTATTGAAAATTATCAACAATTCTTACAAAATGATCCAGTTGGAATTCTTCAAATTGTTTATTATAATAAATCACTTGTTAATCTACAAGAATTTTGCTTGGAAACAATTTGTTCTGATCCTAAAGTTTTATTCGATTCCAATAAGTTTATCAATTTACCTGCTCCTTTACTAGAAATTATTTTAAACCGAGATGATTTAGATTTAGCCGAAATTAAAGTTTGGGAAAGTTTAATCAAATGGGGACTAGCCCAAGAACGAACACTTGATCAAGATGTTACTAAATGGAATCAAGATAATTTTAGCCAATTTCAAAGAATTCTTTATAAATTCATCCCTTTAATTAGATTTTGTGAAATATCATCTGAGGATTATATCAATAAGGTTAAACCTTATAAAAAAATTTTATCGAAAGAATTAAGAGATGATATTTTAAAATTTCATATGCTTCCTGGATATGCATCAATTTTCAAAATTTCACCAAGATGTCCCAAATATCAATTTGATTCCGTTATAATTGATCGATCAGATTGCTTTGTGTTTTTTGCAAATTGGATTAATAAAAAAGGAGAATATGACAATTTTGAAACTATTCCCTATAAATTTAATCTCTTATACAGGGCTAGCAGGGACGGCAATACAGCCGAAGCATTTCATGAAAAATGTGATAATAAAGGAGCAACTATAGTTATAGTAAAAATCAATGGAACAGAACAAATAATTGGTGGGTATAATCCATTTGATTGGGATTCAAGTAGGTATTGTAATTATAAGCATACAACAGACAGTTTTATGTTCTTATTTACAGATAGAAAGAACATAAAATCTGCAAAAGCAGGCTATAGTAGTGGTCACGCTTCTATAGGTTGTTATCAAAATAATGGACCAATATTTGGTCACTATCTTTATTATTCAAGTTCCACTTGGTTGGTTAGTGGTGATCATTCAGGGAATTATCCTGATATTAACATTCCAATTACATTATTTAAAAATACAAATTTTAATGATTATGAAGTTTTTCAAGTTATGAAGAAATCATATTAGTGTCTCATTATCTAATTCTTGATCTGGACAGAGGGAATATAATCAGTGACTATATTCTTCTCATTACTTTTTAATATTATTTGCCATGTAAGTCTGCCAGAGGATTGAGTGTTTTATTCTTATATAGCGAATAATTTTTTCGGGTTTTTTCAGGAAATTCAATTTATGATTTTATTATATTATATATTATGAAAAAAGATTTTTCAAATTAAAATCACTATGCAAAGTAATCATCGATTCTGTGATCACACGAATTTAATATTCTTTTTTTACTTTTTTTACAAATTTTTATTTAAGGAAGTAGTTATTTACATATTATTATTATAAACTTATGTAATAATAACTAAGAAATAAAGTATTAAACAAATTTATTTTATAGTTTGTACCTGTAAATAAAATAATAAATGGAATTCCTTTTAAATATCACAAATTAAACATACCAATTAAAATTGATTTTAAACATTACCGGTGGTGAAATTATGATGTAATGCTGGCCAGTATTTTATTAGATTTTTAATTCTGGTCATAATGCTGATATGGTGACCATCACCGCCGGTAAGCTTTAGCAATTTTCTATATTAATAGCTATCATATTCAAAACTAACGGCCAATTAGACTAATATGGATTGTCTAATAATATAGTATTGAAAGATATATTTAGAATTCAAAGGAAATCGAATATTTAAACAATTTTATTTGCATTAAAATTTAATTATCGGAATTTTATTAATATAAAGCTTGGTTTATGCTCGTTATAATTAATTATTTTATGACCAATATTAGAACTTTGCTTTTTTAAACGTATGAATTTTATCCTTTTAGGTTATTTTTACAAAAATTTACACTAATAAAATAAATTGATACAGTATTACGTAATATTTATTGTTACTCATAAGGGTAGACTAGTATTCCCCTTAAATGATCGTGAATCATGAATACGAGACTTTATGGCATTATATCGGTTCATTTTAGATAGTAATTATTATGACAAACTTTGGAATGAGATTATTATACGCCCAATTGGTTGCACAAAATTATTTTTCATATTATTTAGAAAATTCTTTTTATCCATCATTTTTTCAAATTATTGTTGTCCAATTATTGATTTCCTTCAATTTTTATTTGTTTTCTTTCTTAATTTGTGTTTCATTTATATTTCCATCATTATCTTTTTGATGAAATGGTTAATAATTACGCAATATTTAAAAATCCTTCCACTTGCTAATCATATACGTCTTAACTATATAAAAATAATGTCAATGTATCAATTGCATCATCGTTATGTACTTACCCTTCGATAAAGTATTTCAAAACGAACTTCCCATAATAATTCAAAATGCCTTTAGAAATACTTTCTGTATCACTAACAGAAATTTCCATCTTTTCATTTTCAGATATAATTAAAAATATAAATAATACGTCCAAAAAATTTCCAAATTAGTTATTGTTATCAATACTTGCTTATAACATGTAGTCATTAATGAAACTTGTAAATACAAATGATGAAAATTTTTTTGACCCAACATTAAGATTTAAATCTAATCATATACTAATTAAATTTATTTCTTTTAATGAACAAAATAAAAATTGTATTTTTGTGAATAAGAATATATTGAGACGCTTCTTTACAAAAAAATGTTTATCGCGCTATAACGATAATAATGATATAATTAAACATATAAGTATAATTATTAATTAGTTAATCATACAGAATTGTGCATTATTCCGTATTCCTATTAGATACGTTATTTTTAAGGAAAAAAAATTGTATCCAATTTTTTTATAGGGATTATAGATATTTTATTCTACTGATTTATTTCTACAATGTTAAATGTTATTTCTTTAATGTACTGACAATTATTTGCTGTCACAAGTTCAGAGAGATCAAAATATTACAAAATTAAGCAATAGAAAGAAAAGCCATTACATTAAAACAATTTATATTAAAAATATCTGTTTCTCACCAAAATTCTTCCCTTTATTAATAAATTTAGAGTACTTCGAGCTTACAATTAAAAATTATTGGTACTCAGAATAAAACGTATAATACACTCGATCATTAATTGGTTCTAATTAAAGTTTGTATCCGTTTCATCCAGAAATACAAATTATTCTTGCAGAGTAGTAATTCAGGTCAAATTTATAATTACGACCAGAATTACTATTATTTTGGTGATCATAACCTCTCCACAATTCGAAAATTTCTTTTTTAAGTGATTGTCAATTACCGCTAACGGATAATATCTGGATATCCTTGTTGGATTATCAAAATTTTTTTATTTGTTCAATCCAGATTTATCCAAATATCCGCGGATATCCTTTTTAAAGGATAGCGGCGGATAATCAATGCTCAAGCACTGCATTAACAGTAGTAAAATTTTATTATTACTTGAAAACCTATAAAAAAAAAAAATAATCGAAATCAGTAAAATCAAGCCTATTCCTATTCTTTTACAATTTCTTATAACTTCACTGCATGTTAATAAAAAACCATCAATAAAACAAAAAATGGTTGCTTAACATGTTACATCATAAATGATTAATTAAATTACACGTTGTTTATACATATTTTATAAAATGTATTTTTGCTTATTTCAAAAGTAACAGGTAAAAAATTAAAAAATTCATATCCTTATACTGTAGATCTATAAAAATAATATTATTATAAGTATTGATATAAATTACTAAAATAAGCTAATGCGCAAATGTAATAATAATACACATCATAAAAATAAAAGAATCCATTTATTTTGGTGGTGGTGGAGGATCATAAGAAATGCCAGCGGTAATCGTACAAGATTTTAAGCAAATTGTTTCACATTGATTAAAACAATGAGCATATACAGTAACTTCCAACCCAATAGTTTCTCCTGGAGAGGGAAAATTTGTGGGATCATAATTGTCAACCCGCGTGTATTCATATTGCCCTTCATAAATTGTATTACAGTCAAAGTATTTACCCCAACTTTTACTCAAACAATTATTCGCATCTAAGATATTTCCCATATTGTATCCATTTTCCCATGTAAAATCAGATAAAACAGTATAAATCGTGGTGCCACCTATAGAAAACTTATAATTACCAACCATAATTGGCCCTTGTTGCAAACAACATGTGAAACTACCAGGACTTTCTACTTTGTGTGGTCCATTTATTGTTAATTCGACCTGATGATTTGCTAGAAATTTAATGCCTTCAGGATCAAAATAAAAATCTTACCATAAAAAGCATAAGCGTAAGAAAGATAGATTGATTATTAACATTTGATATCTTGGAAAAAATACTAAATAAAAGTCGTTCTTAGATAACTTACCATCACAATTTACAGAAGATTTAATAGCAAAAGTTTTGAAGAATATAAGAAATAATATAATAGTAAGAATTATGTGTTTCATGATCGATGAGTTTTTTTATAATAAATTTAGAAAGGATAACTATAGGAGCTTTGATTCTGCTGGTTTTTTTTATAAGTCTGAAAAAGCTTATCACATTAGGCATCCAGTATTGTTAATCTTTCAAATAGGAAAATAAAGAAATAAAATAAAATAGAATGGTAATGTTAAAACTCTAATTTTATATTTCATTTATTTCATTTGCTACATGACCAGTAAAATATAAGCTAAACAATTTAACATATATCTAATGATATTTCCCATTTTGAAATTAAATCTCATCTGCAAGATGGACCGATCTACTATACCTTTTCATTTTACAATGAATGTATATCAAGTATATCAGTCAAATGCCGATCTTTTATCGCATGTGAAAATCATGGTTACAATATGATTCCTCAAACTTAATTTTATATCCCTTTCCTAGGTTTCTTTTTAATCCATTCCATTTTACAGTGCATGAAAATGATTGACTGCCAAAAGATTATTTGATTACAAAGCTTAAAATAAAATAAAAAAATATATAGTATTATAGGTCACAGCTGAATAACGGCTCTTGTGATAATTGCGATAAAAGTTTCATAAAGATAATTTTGGTTAGTGATGGGCAAAATACATGAACCCTATACACGGGTTCTGCCCAAATCCCGACAAATACAAATACATGTTATTAGTATTCTTGTAGTCAATGTAGTGCAATAAAAATAATAATATAAACGCCCATGCTAGGACTACAAAAAATTAATATGAATATTGGCTCCCACATTTTCCTACGCCAAAAGATTTTCTTTTATCACCTCTTACCAACAAACAATAATCACTTCTCACGCGAGAACTTCAACTATATAATGAATTTCATAATAATTACATACCTCACACGGATACCTTGATCCGAACCCTACCTAAGGGACGACCTTAAAAACACATATATTAATTCATTAAAGAAAAACGTATCATTTTCGTGGATCAACTTTGCTCCATCGATGGAAATTTTCTCAATACATGAAACGAAATCAACAACACAAATTTAAAGGACCTACTCCAGGATGATTCAAATGCCAAGAAAACAAAGGCACTATATCCAACAATAATAGACGTCTTCTCAATCCTCTCAATCAACAACCTACATTACGATTTACTTTTACTTCTCTAAACATCCATTCTTCCCTTGTATATTATCGACCACCAAATGAATGGACAATTACATGGGATTCAAACATACCGAATCTAACTGCAGACACTAGATCTGAATTAACGCCTAAAAAACGCCAACCTGCCTTACAACCTTGTCCCGTTTGTGACAAACATACAACTTATTACAGAGACTTACGCCCTCATTGCGTTTTAGTTTCACAAAATAATGCATTAATTAAATTTCATGTACATTCTAGTTCATACATCCTACCATTTCCCACTAATTCAAAAAAATTTAATATACCCTAATAAACCCCCACACTCCCAACTCACATACCTAAAAGAAAACGTAAAAATAGGATCTAAGAGAAGGCCTAATAAAGAGAAGACCTTAACAGGGAGAAGATAAACCTAAAAAAAAAAGATGATGAAAAAAAAGAAGTTAAACACCACCAGATAACAAATATAAAGTATAAACATCAAAAAAAAAAAAATTTTCACATTTTTAATATTTAATATGCACTCTTTTTCAAAAACTCCTTTAAGAAATTTTTTCATTCTACCAGTGATTGTAAATCTCTACATTTACCTATTATGAGAAAGAAAAATTATTAATAGTGTGCTAAATTTTTATTTAATGGTAAAGAAGACATAGCTAATTTCTCCTTTTAAAATTAGCAGACTTTACTAATAACAAAGTAGGATTTTATCTGCTTGAGTTGGTTATCAAGTGAACAAGAGAAATAAAAAAAAAAATAAAAAAAAAAAAGAAGAAAAAAAGGGAATAAAAAAAAAATCTTGGCAGAGAGAAGATAGGCCTAATAAAAAAAAAGACGAAAAAAAAAACAAAGTTAAAACACCACCACCTACACACATGAACCCACGCTCCCAACCCACTTTCTTTGCCTAGGTTATGTCTACTTCTGCAAAAAAAGCTTTGTTTCTCTGGTTTATGTTTAAGTCATTGCTAAAAATAAAGCTTTCACTTAGGAAATATAAAATGGGAATAAAATAAAGAATAGCTTTTTTTTGTTTACTTCGTTGGAGAGAAGGAGAACCGATAGTCTTTTTGGCTACTCAGCTGTGGAGAGAGGAAGAGAGAATTTTTTTTAAAAAAATTTGTGGATGGAAAGGCCTTTTATATAAATTTTCTAGTTATAGTCAGAGTATAAAAAATTATGTCATAATCAACATAATTTTTTTTTTTCAAAAGAGATGACTCATGATAGTCTCATGATTATTTACTTTTTTTGAACAATACAATATTTACTGGACGTGATTTACGTGATTTGAAATTGTGGCTGATGCTTCTAAATTTATATAATATATACTAACAATACATAATTACATATACGAATAATATTATTGGTTTAGCGGGCAATTTTTAATCCAATAACTTGAACTCAATGATTGAAATAAAATTACATTTTATCCTATTATTGTGGTATTTATCACCTGTAAAGCGTTCATAGAGAATTAATGTAACTGATTATTATGTCAGTTGTTATAAAAAAATTTTTTCGTCAAGTCTTTACATAAACTGGTAAATTTACAAACCAATATTTGGTCACGTTATTTAATGATCCTTATGATGCACGTGTTTAAAATGTGATCATCAATTATGTTCACCTTCCCAAATTTGTTGCTAGTCTTATGGACCGGATATTGGAACATCAATAGCGCTTGCCGACATATAAATCGGAATTTATCCGGGATGGATGATGTATCAGAAAATAATCCGTTATTTGTGTTCGGATCGGAATTATCTGGATGGATTTAGATCATATTTAATTTCATACAAGCGTTTAAACTTACATATCTTACATATACTGTACATTCATTATTATCACTTGGTAACTAACCGAAAAAAGAGTTTGTTCAATGAAAATAAAAAAGATATATAATTTCATGCGATCACAAATTACGTAAATATTACATAATTTTATAACAGATAATACAATTATTACTAAAGTTACATAAACAATGTCGAGTATTTACATTATGCAATAAAATGAATCCTTAATTAAAAATTCACATATGAATTTGGGCACTAGACTTTCACGGAAAATCATTTTTTAAATGTTTATATACTATTAGAATTGTATCACAAACGTTGATCCTATTTGGGAAATATCAATAAATTTATTTGATTTATTTGTTTATTTCACTTGGTCTTATCAGAATTAAATTCTTTCGTAAAAAATAATAAGAACGTGGAATGTTCGAAAAACTTTTGATAATCTTTATTAATTATTATTTGAAATTTTGATTATGCCCTTCGTTACTTTAAACGGTTGTTTTTCATTCATTTGATGTTATGTAACATAAAATTAATACAGGAATGTTATTATTTGATTTATTTATATAAACTTTGTAACAATTAACCGGTTTTCAAACAAGTTGAATAAAATGAATTGTCGTAGAGTTACACAAATCAATCGAGGACTACCAAGGCTTTTTTAGAGACCGGTCTAGACCATCAAATATATAAAAATTATATATAAAGGACCATTTTCTGCCAAATTTCTTTTAATTAATAGTATCTGCCTTTTTTCTATCAATGTACTGCCACTATAATAATAGAACTTTAAAAAGATTTGAAGATATCTTTTTTTTTTACTTCTTTTTGGCTTTTTTTTTTCACCAGATATTCATACTCGTTAACATTAGTATATTACTATTATAATTATAACTTATCATACTCTCGCTTCAATATATCAACACTCCAAACTTTTTATCTTGATGAGGCTCTTTGTTAATATGGATCTTAATATATCTTGGATATACTTGACAAATATTCTCTAGAGTTTTTTTTTTATTATAACATCGAAATAATAAGACTTCGTGCTACGGAAACCAGCATAAATTAATAATTAGTTCATTATGGATAAATAATATGCAACAATAATTATAATAAAATGAAGAAATTACAAAGTTCGTTCTACAACTCCTTTTTGTTTATTTGTGTTATATACGGTAAGATTCATTTTTATAATAAAGATAAGATAACCATTTTTTTTTGCAAATTTCTATATAAAAGAATGACTGACGGACCGAAAGATTCCTCAAAAAAAAAAAAATAAATAAATAAACAAATAAAAAGAAAAAAAATCTTTAACATAAAAAAATCATGGATCAAAATCTTTCTTCGCAAAATGGATCTAATTTTGTTAATTTTACTGGATATAACAATCCACAATCATCTGGTAATAATCATTTGCAGTCAAATGCATCTTATAACGATAACAATTTTCAAACACCTTATGTAAATAATATAAATAATAATTATACTACTAATTGTCAACAATCTAACGTGCAACCCCCTCCTCAGTATGTTAGCCAAAATCCGCATCTACAGGAGTCCATTAGAAATATTTCTTCTCTCTTAAATACTTTTAACATTACTATTGACGCTTCGCAAAATCGAATTCAAATTACAATTACTCCTATCTCTTTAAACAACTCTATTTCTTTAAACAATTAGAATATTAAAATTCAGTAGTTTTAATCATCAAAATAATATTAACAACAATAGTCGTATTTGTTATTTTTTATTGAAAACTTAATGGCTCTTGTTTTATTATGACATAGTAAAATTTAGTTTTAAATTGTAAATTGTCGAATTTTTTTTTACATTTATTACTGTTGTAACTTTGTTGACTTTAATAAAATATTATTTTTTATCTTTGAATCTCTCTATTGTATTAATAGATACAAACTAGACAATCTTACATTTTTTGTCTAGTAAATTGTATATTAATAACGGATAATTCTGCAGTCGGTTTGATAGGCCGTTAGTGTAATTCGATGTCGGCCTACGTGATACACAAACTTATTTAAAAATTAAAATATTAGAATGTGGTCACCACCATGAACCAGATTGAACCATCCGCAACAAGTCTTATGGTAATATATATACAGTATGTATATATATATCTCAAATAATTACACAATACTTGCATTAACCTAAATTTGAATTGCATTAGAATATTCTTTGGTGGCTTCGGAGTTATAAAATTAAAACTTAATGTATTAAGCTAATCATTTAAGTATGGACTTACTTTCTATAAAAACTTTCGGTTTGTGTAATTTCAGAGGATTATTTAATGTTTTCCAGAAATATTCTCTAAATAGCTAATTGATTTTTTTTTTAATGTATCAAGTCGATTTTTTCCTTAAAAGGATAAACTTCTTTTAATTAGAATTTTCTTAATTTTCTTAGATTTCGGATAGAGAATTCTATAATGCTTATTATTATGTAAATAAATAATTCTTTGATGTATAATTAATTTTTTATTCGGTACGAAATTTATGAAACAAAATAATTAATATGTCTCTAAATAATCCAAAACAAACGACACAAAATCCAACATTTTTTAAGAAATGTAGACAGTGTGATCGCAAAATTGTCAGATTTTATCAGATTTGCAATCAATGTCGTAATGAAAAAATGGTTTCGTCAATTTCGTTAAGTGATAATAACGTTATTGATACTTTTATAAGATACACGTTAGCTAATCATTATAAAAATGGGTGGAGAATGGAATTTGTTCCTTATAGTAGATTCAAAGATGTAAAGTTTATTGCTGAAGGAGGATTTAGCAAAGTTTATAAAGCCACTTGGGTCGATGGTCCTATAACACATTGGAACGATTACAAGCAAGAATATAATAGATGTGGTAAAACAACAGTTGCTCTAAAGGAATTAAATAATTCTAAGAACATAAATTCTATACATTTAAATGAGGTACCGTACAATAAATTTAAGCAATTCATAAATTCTACTATAAAATAATTTATTTCAATTATTTATTTTAGCTCAAGACATATTACAATTATATTTCAAATTGCATTCTTTACTATTCTAATAATATCTGCATGTACTATGGGATTACCCAAGATCCTTATACCCAAAATTTTATGATTATTACAAAATATTATGAAGGAGGAAATTTAACACATTTGATAACAGACAATTTTTTTTGTATTGAGTGGGAAGTTAAGCTATTAATTGTGAAGGAAATTTTATCTGGACTTAAACAAATACATGAAGTAAACATTATTCACAAAGATTATCATAGCGGGAATATATTTATTAATGATTTTTTTACCTATACTGCAATAACAGGCGATTTAGGGTTAAGTAAATCCGCAATTGAATCATCAGATAATGACGATAGTGAGATTTATGGAATTATTCCTTACATTGCCCCTGAGATTTTTCGAGGACAAAAATATACTAAAGCTTCAGATATATATAGTTTCAGTATGATCATGTGGGAATTAATGACAGGTAGAAGACCATTTTGGGGTCGAGATCATGATACAGAACTTATTATTGAAATATGTGATGGACATCGTCCCCCAATTGTTACAAATGCACCTGAAGGCTATATTGAATTAATGAAAGAATGTTGGCATTCTGATCCAAATAAAAGACCAACGGTTACTGAATTATTGGATAAAATTTGGGTTATTAGAAAAAATGAGTTTGATAGACGTAATTTCAATCGCACTAAAATCATTAGGTCACCAGATATTGGACCTATAGCAACATATAATCCAGGTGCTATATATAAAAGTAGATCTTTGAGTACAATGATAAAATCTGTAGAATCCACCAGAAGTTTAAAAATTCCAAGTATTATTCTTTGTTGATATTATTACTTACTCATTTTTTCTTAAAATGGTAAATATCGTAATAATTTTAATATCTTTTTTTTTTAATAATTTACTAGGATCACATTTTCATGATCAAAATAATAAAAGAAAGTTTGTTGGTGGAAATATCGAAGATGATAATGATAATAAAGGTATAAAACAATAATTTTATTTTAAATGTTTTATAACTAATTTCTATTTTTTTAAAATAAAATTATTATATTAGATGAGAACGTTAAAAGAGTCAAGATAAACAAAAATAATGGTAAAGTGATGTTAAGTTTTCTTATTTTATTTTTGTATGATGATTTAATCAAAATTTACCTTATTCAGATTATTTAACAAAGGAACTTGAGTTTGACATTGATAATGATATTAATTCTAGAAAACCTAACAACAATAGTAAGTAACACTAATTACATTTATAATAATAATGCAATTTAAAATTGTAAATTAATTGATTTTTATTAATATTATAAAGATTATACTACCAAAGAAATCACTTTTGATATCCCTGTAAAAAAAAAATGTCCGGAAATTGTAGCTAAAAACATCCGGAAAATGTCCGTGTGTCCGGAAAACGTCCAGAAAATTGCAATATTCTGGACACTTTCTGGACGCTGTGTCTGAACCCTCCTAGACATTTTCTGGACATTTTCCTGAAAATGGAAATTTTCCAACGTCCGGAATATTGCAATATTCCGGACATATTCCAGACAAATAAACATTTTCCGGACGTTTTCAGCTACAATTTCCGGACATTCTTTTTTTATAGGGATATATGATGGATTATTAAATATTAATTTCATACTTAACTATTACTAAATAGGTTTTTTTTATTTTGTCTTTGTTATTGATTATAAAAAAAAATATCGGAAATATTCATTTTATTTTATTTATTTTATTTTAATTAAATAAAAACGATTAGCTATCTTTCAGATGTTTTGAGTTTCTTTCTTTTTAATTTATTTCATAAAAATATTGTAATATTCGCGTTATACCTGTCAATTCAATATTATCAATTTTACTTAACTATTTAAAAAAAAAAGATAATAATTAAATTGCTTTAATAATTAAAATTAATATAATTCATTACTTTATGATGCACGATGATCAAATAGCTAGACATTTTGCTACAGATATAATGTTGGAAAAAATACGTTCTCCCAATTAGCTTTTTTATTTTATCAATATTTTCTATCTAGATTACTAAATTTATTAAAATCAGAAATTCAATATCTTCCCATTAATCTTTTCATCTACCCATTCTTACAAAAAAAATTTCATTATGAAGAATTTGATCGGTACCCAAATTATTTCTATTTTTGGTTAGCGATCATCAAATATACCTAACCCTAAATTTTTGTTGACTATCCCCAAAACTTTATTTGCCGTACTTGCCTACAATAAGCCAAAAGGAAAAAAAAAATTTATTTTATTTCGATTTCTTTTAATATTTTCTTTATCACAAGTTACGAAAAAGAAATTAAAAAAAAATATTTTTTTTTTATTATCAATTTTATAATATGAAAAAAGAAACTTTCCAGATTATGAAAAGACCAGGTATTGAAAATGAACCGATAAAAGTTCAAACAAACTTCTTTGAAGTTACTAAGTTGCCGAAAATGAAAATTACACATTATGATGTAACGATAAGTCCTGAGGTACCCCCGCGATTAAATAGGAAAGTATTTGCCTGTTTTTCGGAGGAAAACAAAAATGCCCTTGGGGGTGTAAAACCAGTATACGATGGTACGTCGATATATAAATATTGAATTATCAATGCTTGTATTTAAAAGAAGGAAATGGATACTTACTAACTAATAGCAAATGTTTGTAGGAAAAGCAAATATGTTTACACATAAGAAATTGCCATTTGAAAGCAAAATTTTTGAAGTAAATTATTTTGTTTATTTTTTACTTTTTTTTGACTTGAAATTATTAAGTTTAATTATCATAATTAGGTGGAATTAGAGAAAGGTAGTGCACCCATGACTAAAACACGTCCACCTCAAGGATTTAAAATTGTAATAAGAAAAGCTAGAGATATTGACATGGAAGACCTATTCCAATTTTTAAATGCAAAAGGCAATATGACCAACAATTGCAAAATGGGTAAGCTTTTTCTTTTCTTTTCTTTTCTTTCTTTAATAAAAATGAACCTCATAATGGATTATAATCATATTTATGTAATAAGCAATAAATGCAATGAACATCATTATCCGTCACGAGATTTCTGCAAAATATCCTACTTTACGTAATCCATTTTACACTCCGCAGGGAGCTACGTCCCTCCGTGAGGGTATGGAGGCTTGGCAGGGGTATTACCAATCAGCACGTCCTACAATGGGTAAAATGATGATTAATATAGACTTAAGTGCTACCACTTTCTATGAAGGTGGTCCACTTATTCAGATGGTTGCAAAAATATTGGGTCTCAGATCTCCCAATGACCTACGTAGAGGATTATCAGATATGGAACGTCAAAAAGTTGAGAAGGGAATAAAAAATCTTAGAATAAATGATAATCATAGACCGGAAAATAAACGAAAATTTAAGATTGAGAAATTAACTCAAACTTCAGCTTCTGACACTATGCTTGATGTAGATAACAGTAATAAGATCAATGTGGAAACCTATTTTCAAAATAAATATAGACGTTTATTATACCCATTTCTTCCTTGCATTATCGCAAGAAAAAATATTCATCTCCCGATTGAAATTTGTGACGTAATTCCGGTAACTACATATTCATCTAGTTATATCACATGATTATAAGAAATTTTTTATTAAAAAATTTTTATTTCGTATAACAGGAACAACGATATATGCGGAAATTGGATAGGGATCTATCAGATAAAATGACGAACTTTGCTCGTCAAAATCCGACCATTCGGGCAAATAGGATTCAAACTGGTCTCAATATATTAAATTACCAAAATAACGAATATCTTAAACAATTTGGGATAGAAGTATCAAACAATATGGCTGTGGTAGGTTTGAAATATTATTATTGCATCATAAGTATGTAACTTCAAATCTTCAATAACGCAAGTTTATAGGTAAACGCTAGAATTCTCCCAACTCCAACAATTCAATACCATCAGTCATCAAGGGAGAGTTGTGTCCGGCCAAATTGTGGATCGTGGAATTTACGGGATAAAAAAGTAATAAATGGTGCCATCCTCAGCTCATGGTCAGTTTTGGCCTTTTTAAGTTATAAAGACTTACCTGATCAAGCTATTAAGCTTTTCGTGAGAGAATTAATTACTACATGTCAAGATACGGGAATGGTAAGTTAAATTATACCAACTCTTTTTCGTATGAATCATTCAAGTTTTTAATCGCCTATAACAGAATATCTCAGAGAGGGATCCTCCTATATGTCGCGCAAATCCTATAGGAGATACTAAAGAATCATTACAAAAAGCTTGGTTGAAGGCTAGAGACAAGGCGTGGGGAGCTAAACCACAGCTTATTCTTTGTATTCTTCCAAATACTGGATTATATTTATATGCTGAAATTAAACGTATTAGTGACACAGTTATTGGTATCGCAACACAGTGTATCCAAAGTAAACATACGAACAAACCGGTAAAACAATATTGTGCAAACGTTTGCCTAAAGATGAACATTAAACTTGGAGGAGAGAATTCATTCCTCATTCCTGAACATATTCAATTCTTGGTAGATGAGCCTACTATTTTGATGGGCGCAAGCGTTACTCATCCTTTGTCTGGTAAATTGTAATTTTTTTTCCACATGAATTATCTTACTAATATATTTATGTTTCTCACATATCTCTTCAGGCAATAATGAAGGTCCATCTTATGCTGCCCTATGTAGTTCTGTGAATGTTAAGGCATCATGTTATGCAGCATCAATTAGAGTTCAAAGTCATACCGATATATTAACAGATTTAGCAAATATGGTTAAAGAATCGTTAAAAACATTTTATCAAGCTTGTGGGTTAAAACCCAAAAAAATTTTATTTTACCGAAACGGTGTTTCAAAGAGTCAATTTATGTATGTGCTAGAAAGTGAACTAGCCGCGATTAAATGTAATTGAAACATATTATTTTTAGATTTTATTCCTGCTTTTTTTTTAACCTATTTAATTCTACAGACGCGTGTCAAAGTCTTGAGGCTGATTATAGACCCACTATCACATTTGTTGTGATACAGAAGAGACACCACACACGTTTTTTTCCAATAGAAAAGAAAAATGCTGATAAATCAGGAAATTGTCTTCCTGGTACTGTTGTCGATATGGACATTACACATCCATTTGAATTTGATTTTTGTAAGTAATTAAATTGTGCATTGACATATAAATTTTGTAGCATTTCTAAATGACTTTAATTCCTTACCAGATTTATTAAGTCATGCTGGACTACATGGGACGTCTCGGCCAACTTATTATCAAGTTTTATATGACGAAAATGGATTTGATGCAAATAGGCAAGTCAATTTAATTTAATTTAATAATTAATTATTATACGTAATTAATATATAATTAATAATTTAGGTTACAAACTTTATCTTATAATCTCTGTCATACTTATGTGCGTTGTACACGTGCAGTATCTTTGGTAAGATTTTAAATTGCATTTGTTATCATTGTATGCGGTAAATGATAAATATCGTATTATTTTTAAATAGGTACCTCCAGTATATTACGCCCGCCTAGCTGCCACAAGGGCAAGACTTTACTCATTCTCATTCTGTAACACTGATACGGAATCATCTGAAGGTGTTGCAATCAATTTTGGAGCGGTGAAAGAGCTACAAAAGGTAAATTAAAGATGATTTGAAAGTGAATTATTATAAATTATCTCATTTCTATAACAAACCCTTCCTTTTAGGTTATGTACTATATATAACAACATCATATAAAATTATCAGAAATGAAAAACTTTACCTTGCATTATATTTATCAAAAAAAAAAAATATATATTTAAATTTTAAATTTTATCTATGCTCACATGACTGTGAGTTGTTGCTGTGCTCGCTGAGGAGAGGAAATTTTCAAGAAACTCAAGTTTTTCGTATTATACTAGCACTCCAGTCTAATAAAAAAAATACTAAATATATTGCTTGAGGTGAACGTACTATTCGTTTGTCTGTTTCTGAAACAGCGTTATTTATTTGGTCTACTGGTACAGTTTTGAACGTCTTCGTATTAAAGTCTTGAAATTCTTTCAGCGATTTTATCTTGTATATTTTTGTTAAAAACCTCAAAACTTGCTATGAACTTCTCCATAAAGTTATTTGTTAGCTCTTCCCTCAGTAAAACTATTTTTTTTGACATTTTGTATAATAGTTTGTGTTCTACTTAATGAAGTTTTGTTATCCGATTGTACAAAATTATTTTACAAGCAAAAAAGAAATTTTAAATAAATTTTTAAAAGAATTCAGTAAAAGTAATTGTAATTGTTATTATAATTGATATTGTGAATATTAAGAGTTTGAATTCCAAATTCTTTCATAATTCATTCTTCGTGTTCTTTTTCCTTGGCAAGTATCATTTCAATTTCTGTAACTTCAACCTTACTATTTGAAGCAGCTTCAGCTTCGGCTATCATAACAGATATTTTACTATTAGTCTTTTAAGGATAATATCTTCATCATCATCGACATTATTATCAGATGTATTATTGGAAATTATTACTCATTTTTGAAGATGATTTGTGACGTACAAATCTACAGCCACAACAAACACGGAATTGTCTTTGTCGTGAAGTTGAATTTGTTGGTGAATTTGTTGGTATTGATTGAGTAGTTGGATAATCTTGTTGTGAGAGTGACGTAGAAATTGTAAATGAAGGTTTAGTTTCAGTCTGAGTAGTTGGATAATCTTGTTGTGAGGGTGATATAGAAATTATAAGTGAAGGTTTAGTTTTAGTAGAATTATCGTAAGGTGGAGGAGGTTCTTCATCTTCAAAAGTTTCTACATTTTCATCCCAAGTAGAAACATCTTTTTTCTTATGATCATAAGCATTTTCATCATCATTATCATCGATATCATTGTAACCATAATTTTGTCTCGTTGAATGATCTACAGTATTTAATTTATTCTCAGTTAATATATTTATAGCATCAGTGGCAAAATCGGAAGTATAGGTAGCAAGTTCTACAACTTTATATATAAAGTTTGACAATTCCAGGATGATGAATTTCTTCTTGTTGTTGAAAATCTTGTATTGAAATTGACTGCATTTTGTGTTGATATTTTTAAAAAAATTTAGATATATAGTAATGTATATAGGGTTTATTATTTTATTCTGTAAAATTAATTCAAGAATATTATTGATAAATTCGTTAAAAAAAATCAATTTCGAGGGTATGTAAATTTACTTCATTTTCAAAAAATATTGTTATAATAGTGGTACATATATATTTAACCTATCAATATGACATAGTAAATGTAATTTTAACCAAAACTCAACTAGGATAATTGAATAGTGTATTTAAAGGTAATGAATTATTAAGTAAATATCATGATCATTCAAGTAAATATTAATAACACGATATTTTGATTTTCCCATAATAATAGAATCGTTAAACGACACCATAATCTGTTAACTAAAATGCATGAATGTAAAATGATCCTTTTGGAAATATTTTATAATTTTATATGTTAAAAGGGGAAGTATCAAATTGTTATTACGCCCGATCTTGAGTAAATTATATTATTCATTTTTGAAGTGATGATTCCGATATTGTCGTACAATGCGTCAAAATTTAATATTGTTATGAAGTCGCAGCAAATTCATGGCATAAATATTCGTTGATTTAATACTGCTGGATTGCACAGGTGTCACGACTGTCACGTAATAATATATATCACGTGACTTACTATTATTCGAAACTTATTAATATGCAGGTAAATATTGTTATGTATCTATATAATTAAAAACAATCTCATAAAAAAAAATATTTTTATGTGAATTTATTAGTCAGGAAATAATATTAAAAAAATTAATCTCAATAAACAAAAAAAAGTTCTCACTACATCGAAAAAAAAAAATCTCAATAAACAAAAAAAGTTCTCATTACAAAATTATTAATATTGTTATGTATCTATATAATTAAAAACAAACTAACTAAAAAAAAATTTGTTGATACTAAAAAAAAAATATTTTTACACGAATTTATTAGTCAGAAACAATATCATTGTGGGATAAAAAAAAAATTCCAAAAATTTTGATAAATTCCAATCCAATAAAAATATAATAAAAAAAGAATAAGAAAAAATTTTGTTAAAGTTAACCGAAGGGATAAAAAAATCAATAAAAAAGATTAAAAAAATAAAAAAAATAATTATTTAGAAATGGTTAGTTGTGGTAACTAAGAGAATGGTAATAACCGCAATTAATATACTTTTTTTTGTCAGTATTAATTCATTAGAATAAAAAAAAATCCAGTTAAAATTTTAATTAACCGGAAATGTATCAGTTTAAAGATTTTCTTAATTATGATGATATGATAAATACGAAATAGATCGGGCGCAAGAATATCACACTTTTGAATGTTACACAATTCAAATTATTTATATGGGTAATCTAAATATGACAAAATTTTTTTAATTAGATAGATTACTATGGTCCGATTGGTCCCCTTGAATTGTGTAACAAAAGTTTGTGCTAATATATGGGCACAGATTATCATCATTATTTAACTCCACAAATTTAAAAACAATAAAAAATATAGTTTTTTTTTCTTCTTTCTTATTTTTTTAAAAAAATACGTAAAATAATGTCTGCTGAATTATTTTCCAAATTATTAAGCCAAAATTATATTGAACTTTTGGAAGATAATGAATATTATGATGTTACAATTGAAGTTGGTGAAGATCCTAACGTAAAAATTTTTCGTGCTCACATGAATATTTTGTGTTACCGTTCTCCATATTTACGACGAATATTAGCTTCCAATAAAAAGAACAACGATAACGTATTAGCTCATATTAAATTACCAAATATATCACCAGAAATTTTTCAAATTATTTTAAGGTAAGTTTTTAATTTTCACAATTAAATTTACATTACTGTAAATATTTAATAATTAAATTTTTTTTTTTATTATAGGTATATTTATGGTGGAATTCTTTTGTTGAATGGACAAGAAACTTTAAATATTCTAAATACATTGGTAGCTGCAGATAAGCTTCATCTTCAAGAACTAGTTGATTATTTACAAAAATATTTAATTGAAAATAAGTCGGATTTGTTAGAACAACATTTTGGAATTACTCAACAAATTTCTTCACAATCTAATAATTTATTTGAACTTCAAGAATTTTGTACAAATTTAATGATTCAATCACCCGAAAAAATATTCAAATCTTTTGATTTTACCACACTTTCCGAAAAATTTTTAATTTCACTTATTAAAAATGATGATTTACAAATGAAAGAAATCGAAGTGTGGGAACATGTATTAAAATGGGGTCTTGCACAAAATCCATCTCTCATTCCGGATCCTAAAACTTGGTCGGATGATGATTTCAAAACGATGAAAAATATTTTGCAACACTGTTTGCCTTTAATTAGATTTTTTAGTTTATCGTCTAGAGAATTCTCGCAAAAAGTTCGTCCATATCAAAAACTCTTAGATCAACAATTATATGAAGATTTATTGAATTCTTATTTGGAACCTGGTGGTGTGTCAAAATACAACGTTTTACGCCCAAGAAAAATTAAGAATGATGAAATTAAAATTGTCGATTCCCAAATTATTGATTCAAAAATTGTAGATTCTAATATTATTTCAACCGTTTCAAAATGGGTTGATAAAGTAGCTATAAATAATGATAATTATGAGGAATTATATTTACCATACAAATTTGAATTATTATTAAGAGGAAGTCGAGATGGATTTACTCCTAAAAAATTTCATGAATTATGCGATGGCAAAACTAATACTGTTACATTTATTAAAGTAAAAGGAAATGAAGAAATTCTTGGTGGATATAATCCTATGAAGTGGGAAACTACTGGCAAATGGTGTTATACTAATAAAAGTTTTATTTTTTCTTTTAAAAATAAGAATATTAAAGATGCAATTTTAAGTAATGTAAGAGACGCATGGCGAGCATTAGATTATAGCAGATCATGTGGTCCACAGTTCGGCCAAGATCTTAACATAATTTCTAGAAATACTAAATCTTTTAATGTAACTTATTGTAAAAAAGTGATGTATGAAAGAAATATAAGAGACACTGAAGATGAATTTTCAATAGAAGATTATGAAGTCTTTCAAATAATAAGAAGCTAACTAAATATCGATAATTTTCTTGTTAAATAAAAAAAATAAAACATATATGAGACCAAATCTTGGCTTCTTTTTGATAATTATTAATCACGTTAATCACGTTTGTTTTTATTTGTTAAAGACAAAACTAAATTAATATTTATAAAGGATATAACGATAGTGCAGTTAAATTTTTATATATGAAATTCTTGGTAGTGGATTTAACATTTTAGAGATTTAAAAATTATCGAAGATGTTGAATTAATAATTCGTATTTATTAATTTGTACTTATTAAATATTCTAATAATTTGGAATATAAATTGTGTTTCCCTTGCACGTTTCCCTCTTTTTTTTTTAGCTCAAATTTATTTATTCTTTAGAAGTAAAATAATTTTAATTTCAGTGTTCAGTGTTTTCTTACTTAATTTAATTTGAAACTCCAAAATTTTTTTTCATCATCTTTTTTTCTTAGCCAACTTCACTCGTAAGTCGTAACCAATTCAGTACAAAAATTTTGTAATTTCATGAAAGAATCAATTTCAAAGCATATTGATATATCATATTAAAATTTTTTTTTTTGTTTTCAATCAAAAATAATTATTGTAAATGAAGGATTTAATGCTTGAAGACAAAGTTCACTGGAAGCGATCAAGATTTTAATGATGTCTGAAATATTGTATTTCTCTAAAGAAAGCCTCCTTCCATTAATATACCTAGAAAAAAAAAATTAAATAGTATTATATAAATTATTTATTTTTTATCTTTATACCAAATTTCTTATTTTTGTATCTCAAGATTATTTGAAAAATTATTTGGTAATTTAAATTCCATCATTTTTTTTTGTTAACATCAGTTGATAATATTCTTCTATGTGCATGAAATATTTTTATGTAAGCAACTTCAATAGTAATACCATATAATATTCAAAATTTCTAGTAAATTTGGGACAATGTAACATTGGTAAAAATTTATCATCATACATTTAATATAGTCAGTATCATTAAAAAAAGAAACACGGAAATTTATATATTGTATGGTAATTCCATTTAAGTTCCACAAATTTTGATTTAGTAAAAATTGATTAAACATGAGAAAAAAAAAAACTTGCAAAAGTTGGTTCACAATTTTTTTGATGATGTAATATAGATAAGGAATATAGTTTCATTATTTGACATCATAAATAAGCTTTATTTAACTTTCTATAAATTCATTTTCATGCTATTTTTTAATCCACTTATAAGCTTTATTAAACTTTTCCTATAGAATTTCATTTACTGTACACCATATTTTTTATTCCACTTAATCATGTATTATTAATATTTCTAATAATAATGGGTTAGGATTTTTTTTCATGTTAGAATTTGAATTGTCTGAGACTTTCATACTTAACAAATTCTGAACATAAAAAAAATTTGGATGACAATTTTGAATATTTTCTAGATATTTTTATTGTTTTTATAAAATACTTGAACAGTTCAAGTTATTTTTAATAGTATTTTTCTGAATATTCCTTTTATGGGACTTCTGGCATTTTTTATATGTAATTTCTTTTTTTTCATTCATATTTAAAATAAATAACAACATATTGATACTATTTTACTAAATTAAAATATCTCTTATATTATTGCTTTTTTAAAACTGATAGAATATATTATATTATTACAGTTTTTTTCACTTTTTTCTTTAAGACAGGGAGGACGGAATTTAACTATTTTATTAAAAGGATAATAATAGAATAATATGTTTTATTAAATTTAAATTTAAAGATTTAGCAAATGAATTTCTTAATACTGACAAATTATGAATCTGTTCAAGAAATAAATGTTTTGATTAATATTTTAATCTATTAGAATGATGGATTTTAAATTAGAAATATTTTTTTGATACAAATTGACACATAAATAATGCAAAAATTATAATTTAAAAATCAATTTGACATATGGGGACTGGTCCAGCAAAACAAGGGGTTAGGTCCAAAAAATTTTTTTTTGAAATTTTATTATACACATGTGTATTTGTAATTTTTAGTGGAATTGACATATAATTGTCATATAAACTTAAAAAGTTTTTTTTAAGACCAAACCCCTTGTTTTGCTAGACCAGTCCCCATATATTAACTAATATTATTTTAATATAGCAACCCATGTAAGATTTTTGTTGACCCCATTTACAACCAATCACTTTCTTTACAAATTGTGTAACCACTAAGAATTTTGCCCCTAAAATATTAGCAAATATGTGTCATTGCTCTTATATTGTAACTTATGCTTTTAATGCCATAATAATAAATTTGAAATTGTTTCAAAACAAAAATATTTATCTGTGACAACATTAAAATTGTTTCAGTTTTTTATAACTTGGATAAAAAATTAACACAATTAATTTTGTACAATAACTAAAGTTGTACTAATATAGTCTAAAGAAACCGCGTAAAAGATGACTCATAATACTTGGATAAAAAATCAACACAATTAATTTTATTACAATAACTAAAGTTGTACTAATATAGTCTAAAGAAACCGCGTAAAAGATGACTCATAATTATATTGATCGTACACAACACAAAAATCACACAAAAGAAATATTATAAAAGGAGATAAAGGAGATGAAGTTTTCAATAAAAAAATTACTTGTTAAATTTCTATAAAATTATAATTTTACAAACTCACGCTCTATGCAAACTCACGCTCATTAACTGATATCTTTAATTACTTCTTCGCTCGCATCAACCATTTCCTTTCTATATCTTCTTCAATAATTAATTAGTGCAATTTACAAACTCACGCTCTATGCAAAATCACGCTCATTAACTACTGATATCTTTAATTACTTCTTCGCTCACATCAACCATTTCCTTTCTATATCTTCTTCAATAATTAATTAGTGCAAATTTACAAACTCACGCTCTATGCAAACTCACGCTCATTAACTACTGATATTTTTAATTACTTCTTCGCTCACATCAACCATTTCCTTTCTATATCTTCTTCAATAATTAATTAGTGCAATTTACAAACTCACGCTCTATGCAAACTCACGCTCATTAACTACTGATATCTTTAATTACTTCTTCGCTCACATCAACCATTTCCTTTCTATATCTTCTTCAATAATTAATTGGTGCAATTTACAAACTCACGCTCTATGCAAACTCACACTCATTAACTACTGATATCTTTAATTACTTCTTCGCTCACATCAACCATTTCCTTTCTATATCTTCAATAATTAATTAGTGCAAATATGAAAATTAATAAATTTAAAAGTGGTCAAACCGTTGAAAGTTGGGAATTAAGTTATGATAACGATATTTGTAAAAAATGTAATGAAATTACGTGTATAGGATGTGAAGAACCGTTAATGTCTAAGATAAAAAGATTGTATTACAAAATTAAAAATAATTTATTAATCTATAAAAAGGATGAGAAATATGAATATGAATGGGATTGTAGTGATGATAATAATGATTGGGGTTGTAGTGATGATAATAATGATTGGGGTTGTAGTGATGATAATAATGAATGGGGTTGTAGTGATGATAATAATGATTGGGGTTGTAGTGATGATGATAATGAATGGGATTGTAGTGATGATAATAATGAATGGGATTGTGGTGATGATTATAATGGAAAAATAGAATTGAGAAATATGGGAAAAATTTTTGAGAAAATAATGTTAAAAAGTATTAATGAAATAATTTTTATTAATAATTTACAGTGTGAAAATAATGATGTGATTGATGTACCATTAGAAATTATTAGATATAGTCAAAGAAAAATTAATCCATTATTTAAAGGAAGAGGATTAATTAGGAAGAGCATATATGAAACGGTTAATGAATTGAAAAATAAGGAAATAAAATATGGAAATGAATTACCAATAATAGAAATATGTGTTTATGAAGGAAAGGTTTGGTCAATGGATAATAGAAGATTATATTGTTTAAAGGAGGTGTTTGATGGAAAAGAAATTATTAAATGTAAAAATAGAAAAGTAAATAATAATTTTTTGAGAAAACGTGAACAAGCGTTAATAGAAAATGAAGAAAAGGATCATGATTGGTATGATATAAAAATAGATATTTATTCAAAAGGAATATTCTTTAATGATTCGTATTATTAATATAATATAGTAATTCTTTAATAACGGAATATTCTTTAATGATTTGTTAATATAATATAGTAATTCTTTAATAACAATAATGATTTGTATTATTAATATAATATAGTAATTTTAATAAAATGGATTATAAAAAATTTTATTATGTATTTTGCTAGATTTTAATTATTAAATAACAGTTAAGTTCAATTAACTCATTATCCAGTAAAAATAAATTAGTTTATTGCTTTGTTGAGATATATTAATTTAATAATAATTTCATATTTTATCATCGATAGATTATTATTAAATTTCATTTATTACAAGGTTAAAAAGTAAGGAAATATTTCGTCAGATTGAATAGCAGTATCAGAAAAATGAAAAAGGTTGAGAAACATAGTTAAAGAAGAGGTATATTACGTTTGGATAACATGTGGACGGAGTATTTCGTTATCAAATTTAAAAAGACAAGAAAATGTGTGTGGACAAAACATAAAATAAGAAGGAAAACTTGAAATTATGGAAAAATCTCAGCGTATTGATATAACAACTAAAGGAGCGAGATGTGAGTTAAACAAAAATATGGTGAATATTGTTCATATGGAATTATATTTATTAAAATTCTCCGAGATCATAATGGACAATTAGAAGAAAGTATAAGAGAAGTTATAAAGAAACGAGGATATGCAAAAGAAAATTCAACTGGAAATATTATAAATAAAAAAGAATATATAATTATTAATCCAATAATAAATGTTAAGATAAATATCGGAGATGAGATTTATTTGGTGACTTGGACGATTGCAGATACTATATGAGGGGGGGTTTTGTTTCCAATTTTTTTTTTTGTTCTTTTAGGTTGTTTGACTCCAAATGAACCTGAACTTGTTGCAATAGGTGGTTTTAATAAGGAGGGAATTTTCATAATGTATTTGTACTTTGTTTATTTTTTATTTTTTATTTAATTTAATAAAGTGAAATTAGATTTATGTAAATACAATTATAGTAAACTGTAATACAAATAGTAAATTCAGTGACCAAATCGTATAAATTTCGTGATAAAATCAGTGATCAAATCATGTAAATTCCATATAAATCCCGTGCAAATTCCGTATCCAAACCATATTTTTAGTGATACGGAATTGTGCATTTTTCCGTATCCTATTATGATACGTTATTTCTAAGGAAAAAAATCGTATAAAAACTTTATAAAAAACGTATCCAATTTTTTTATAGGGACAATGGTATCGAAAATTTTTTGTACATATAAAATCATTGTCAGACCATTTCCTGAATGCCATTTTCCTAAATATATTAATTTCCCAAACTGACCCTTTCTTAAAATATACAATTTCCCAAATCCTTATTTTCCGAATCCCAGAAATCTGAGTCCTAATATCTTAATCCTAATATCCTGAATGGGCAATTTCCTGTTGAAATCCCTATAAAAAAAATTCCGATTTTCTGGTTTTTATTCCGGACACTTGCATTTTTCTAAAAATTTTTATAGAAATATATAAACTGTATTTTTTAAAATTTACTACATATTAGTTTATAAAATATTGCGTCATAATTCAATATATCTATTCAAAGAGATCAGATGAAAACGATATTATTAAAAAATTTTAAAAGTGTGACATAACATTAATTGGAATTGAAGTTAGTTATTACTAGGCGTTTGTTAATTTCGCAATATACTGTACATAGGAAAATTAATAACAAAACATTATCTATAAGATATTCTAAAAGTGTATTGCTACTGGTAGAATTTTAGTCAGAATTAAAAATGTCATGAATATTTGCTAATGCTGGTGTGGTGATGATCACACGCGCGGTGTTTTTTTGACATTTTACTAGTTTAAAATAATTTTTTATTTAGCAATTCAACAAATATTATTAGCCCTGTTCATTTCCGGTCGGTCGCATTTTTCGGTCAGATTTAAGTTAATTTTGATTGGGCTGATCAGTTTGTACAATGCAACCATTTTCTGAACTTTTAGCCCAATTTTTTTGGGGGTTTTTTGGTCGAACGCCAAAAATAACCAACCAAAATTAGATAATTTCTGTTTACGTGACATTTAAGAAAAAAATATATATCAATAGAAGGAGTTCGAACTAAATTTCAATCTAAAGCAGTTCAATTTGCGATCGAAAATGAAAAAATTTTATTGGATAATTTTTGTACAACAAAATCCGACCGAAAAATGCAACCGACCGGAAATGAACAGGGCTAATATTTAGCAAAAAGTTTAAAAATAGTAAATATTGGGATTCAGAATATTGGATTCGGGTCGGGGAAATTGTATGTTTTAGGAATAGTCCAGTTTGGGAAATTAGCCAATCAGGTAAATGATTTCGGGAAAAATCGTGATCAAATTAAATTGATCTTCAAAGCTTTTCAATTATTCGTTCATATTAATTATAAAAATTAAAAGGATCTTCAAAGCTTTCCTAAATATAATTCTTTTTTAAAAAAAAAAAAAAAAATCTTATTCGTTCATGTTAATTATAAAAATTAAAAGAATAATAAAAAAAAAGTAAATAAAAGAATTTGGAACATATAAGATAATCAATTACATCTGATGCCATTGTCCCCAAAGTCGTTTCCTGAAACTCCAATTTCCATAATTAATAAATGATTCCCATTTTGGTTTGACAATATGGTACATAGAAGTGGTTGACTGCCAAAAGAATTATTTGATTACAAAATTTAAAATAAAATAACATTAATTAGCAAAGAAATAACAGAAGATCTGAACAAAATTAAAAGTCCATTCAATCGGATATCAGAATACGCAAAGAAATAGAAATTTCGTTCGTTCAAAAAAGAAAAAAAAAAATTTTTTAAAGAATTTCCGTTTGATTTATTGAATTTTAATCCGATAAAGTTAAAAGAAATTTCTTATGATTTCAATTATTCCCAATCTTGGAATCGCAACAGTAAGGTTATAATTATTTCTTCGTCGTGAAATGACGAAAATATTCGTTTTTAAGGTTTTCAATTTTCAAATGTACTTAATAACTACTACTTACTGCCTATTAATTTGCGGTCACTTTTTTTTTCAAATCTTTTGATTTTTCCGAGTCTGTTTTCCTTTATTAGCTAATTAAATTTTTCTGGTCGCTTATTAAATATTTATTAAATCTCATATATTTTAGTAAATATGTACAGTTAATAAATTTTTTTTTCTTTTTTTTTTCGTGTGATATTCAAATAACTATTATATTAAATAATAACTATTATATTAATGGACATTGATGTCCAAATATTAAATGGATATTAATGTCCAAATATTAAATGTCCTGATGCTTTTCTTTTTTTTTTTCTGAGTAAAATTGATGTCCTGATGCTCAAATATTAAACGAAATTGATGTTCAAATAACCACATGTAAAATGGACAATGGCGTCCAAATAATCACATGAAATAGATCTAAATGATCAATTCTTATAACTGTTAAAACTCCGTAGAAATGAGCCTTTCATGAATCTATTCATAGAAAAATATAAGTAATTTGATAAATTCCGTTATTAATTCCGGAAATATGAGCCTTTTACGGAAAAAAGATGGAATATGAAAAACGGATCGACTTTTTAACAGGGAATATGACTAAATGTACCGTTATTTGGACACCAGCGTCCATTTAATTATAATAGTTATTTGGACAATTAGACGTCATATAAAAAAAAATCAATCGTACTGTACTGTACTAGCTCTATAACAGATTTGCAAATTCGTACAGTACTGAATAACCTTCAATGAATGAAATATTATTAATATGTTTATTCTTTTTACGTTATTATAATGATTATCAAAAAGAAGTTTCTGATATAATGATTTCATTTATGTAAATCTTAAAAATATTGAAATAATTTTTATATAAATCCTGAAAAAATTTCTTTATCCGACGAAAAAAAAAAAACATTTCTCAAATAATTCTTTTTAACATTCCTTTTGACGCTATAAGACGCGTCTAAATATATTCTAATATCATTATATTCGAACTAATACTGTCTATTTACATATATGATACAAACTTTTCGTAATTTTTTTTAATTTTTTCAATCATCTTAATATTGGAATAAATTTTAGTATCACTTTCGAAATTCAAAATGATCAAGTTCATTTTAAATTCGCTTTTACTCCTTTTCTTTTTTGGAATTGTTGCCGCATCAAAAGATTTTGATGTTGTTATGGGTAACAAAAAATTTAAAACAACAAACTTACTTAGTGCTGTCTATAGTCAACAAGTTGGTGATCCTTCAGAAGGATATCATAAGGCAAAATTTAATTTAAAGACCAACTTACCATCATTTAATCCTGATCAAAGTGGTGTAGAAAGTGTTATTTGTAAAACAGAGGCAAATGGTAAAAGAAAAATTGCTTTCAGCTTAAAGGACAAAAAAGCGGCCGAGGACGTTAAGAAATGGCCTGAAAGAATTATGTTATTAATTTCTCATAAATGGGAATGCTTTGGTAAAAGGTCTACTCAATTTTTTAAGGCTACTGACAGAGTTATAGATGAATCTAAATTAGTTACAACTTTTGCTATTATGAGATGCGATTTTCCACACAATTTAGAAGATTACGATATCAATATTAATTGGGTCGAAGGGAAACAAACAAATAATAATACTCGTCGCAGTCTAGAAGAAAGATTCGGCATTTCATTTCCAACAATTAATATTAGTAATAAAATAGGTTTAAATATTTTATTTGATTCAGCAAGTGATAAATCTTCAAAACCAGATATATCACTTATAAATAATAAAAATATTAAATTGCTTTGCGCTAATTGTTTTACAAAAGGTGAAGCTGCTCTTGCATTGAGAATTAGAGGTAAAATTTTTCCTCCTAAATTGAAAGAAGCTTCAATTACTCTTAGTGGAAATTTACTCGTAAACCTTGATTTTTCCCTTGAAGCTCCAAAAGAAATAAGCCATGAAGAAAAAGCATCTATAAATTCTCCTATTGCAAGTATCAAAATAGGTGCTTTTAATATACCAGGTTTATTAGAACTCGGCC